ATAAACACAGAAAACACTAAGATTCCCTATTCAAGTATATTCTGGGAGTTACAGCCTCCAAAGAAACTGGAAAATGCTTGGGAAGTAAAGGATAGAACAACACTGGCTCAAACTACAGCTGCTCAATTTTCTGACCAAAATTAACCTTGCATTTCTGAACCAAGAGCTGACTACAGAGAAAGGATGCAAGGCATCAGTGTCCAGCTTCAGAGCAGGTTCAGCACTGCTGAGGAGGGTTTCCAATTGTACTCTCCAGTGGAGCTCTATCAGTGTTATGGTCTGGGGAAACCTTGGCAACAGGCCAAATGTAAGTCCTAGTTTCTGGTGATGTGAGTTTACAATATTTTATGCCTTTGTAAGTATTTTAGTGGGCAGTGGAGACTGCTTATCAGATGCTTTATTTTAAAAATGAAGTTAAAGTAATAGGAAGAAGGTTGTAACTAAAAAGAATTATAGATTCAGTGTTGCAAGGACTTTAGACATCATTCAGTTCAAACTCTCCAACTTTACAATAACATAGTAAGTGGTCACCAAGTCCAGGCTTGAATCCCTCCAGTGATCTAGAACTCAATACCTAGTGAAACAATTCACTTCATTTTTATACAGTTCTAATGTTTAGAATGTTATATTTTATACTGAGGCAACATTTAACTCTCTGTACTTTCCATCTATGAGTCCAAGTTCCTTTCTCTGGATCCACACAGAATAATCCTAGCATTTCTTTCAAGAGGTAGACATTTCTTTCCAAGCAAGATCCTCAAATTCAACAGTATCAAATCTACCTTCCAAGTTGTCTTTTTCAGTTGTTCCTAAGGATGTGCTAGCAGAACTTTGACTAAATCCATATAAGCACACTATGCTAGCTATTCAATACTCTCAAATGCAAGAGTATCATTTGCAACAATGGTAAATATACTGTTGGTCAGCATCCCTATTTACAGAATAGAATACAGAACATCCTCAACCTACCACATATATTCTTTCCCACAGCTCCAGTAACCCCTGATTAATGACCTCCACTTGCAAAGGAGGCTACTTACCTTAACCATGAAATAATGAATGCTATTGATCCAACAAGCTACTGCTATAGAGTGTTATTGATCACCCAATCTTTGGTTAAAATGGTCCTCATTTAGCAATTTCACTGTCACAAACACCTGGAGCAAAGCCCACTCATAATTAAAGAGTTCGGGAGAGTTAAAGTGAGAGGTGATAGACAGAGATCTCAGCTTTCTGCCATTTATTCTTGCTTCTGAGCTATTGTCTGTGTCAGAAGGGATATTGATTTTCTATAAAAATAAGAAAACAAGAGGCACCAAGGGGCCGCAGAAGGTCAGCTCGGGCTGGAGAAGGAGGGGGAAGGTTTAGCACTCTATCTCTGTCACTTGCCTTCCAAGAGAAAGGAATATTTTCTCTCCTGTAAGGTCAGCCTCTAATACATCACCATAGGAAGGTTCCTGACTGCAACCTCAGATCATCACCAAACCAACTCACTTATGAAAGAAAAGAAGCTACACTATATTCAAAGAGAACAAATGAATGGCATATTAGTGGAGAATAGAGCAAAATCAGGCTATGCATCACCTAATTAATAACTGCTATATAGGCAATTTGAATAAAGATCAGTAGAAAGTACTGAAAAGAGCTGTTACAAAAGAGCTGCTCCTTTTAGAATGGAGCATACATACACAGAAAAATATTAAAATAACAGTTGATCTTTTTGCAGGCATAAGAAAGCTATTACATCATAACCACTTTCAGTTCCTCAGAATTCAAGCTATCGGTTGGTATAGAGCTGAAGAATAGAAAGAGAAAAAGTAAAAAGAATTATTGGTTACACTTAAAAAGACTCCATGTTTAGTTAGCAGAGTGAATTTAAGGAAATTAGAAATAAAGATCTCTGATTGAAACATACATTTTCTAACCTAAAACACCTAATGCATGCTTTTTAAAAGAACTCTATCCACTGACTAGGCTAAGCTAAATGATCAATTCATCCTAATAATTTTAAAGTTGGATCATATATACTCTGACAACCCTCAATACCACCAATAAAAAGTAAAGTTCTACACTTTGATCTGTGAATAAACTGACATATCCAAACAAATTTATGAAAAGAGTAACCAAGAGGATTCTTGGAAATAATTCTTTTAATACAGAAAAACTAAGAAAATTTTGACAGAACCAACTCACCCAGACAGTATAATATCCCAACCATACACTATTATCACTTAAACATTCTAATGCTACTCCCGTCTATCAGGTGTGCTCAACAACTGAGGGCAGGAGATTTTAGTTCACCTTCACTGCTGAGAGGATGAACATAAAATGCAGTCAAAGAATAAGCAAGAATCAGCCCTCTTTCCCCATAGAGTAATTTAAGGGGGAAATACAAAGCACTTCTGTTTATAACTACAGATGAATCAACATAATCAAGGCAAATTTAAGCCTCCTACATAATCAGATTCTAAAGGATTTTTTTCTATTTCTCCTACTACTCCACCCACTATTTCCTCATAGCCCGCTGCAAGAGCTTTGGTGTCCACGTTACTGGAAAAACTCTCAAGTCATGGACTAGGGAGACAGACCAAAAGGGGAAACAAGGTCTACTCAATCTGAAAAGAGTAAGAAATTCTAAGAGTTGCTGCCTACGTCAATTTATCCAGGCTCTCAGATAACTAGAAGGTTTAGTCTCACCACCTGACTGTAATGTGCAATAGATGGGGTAAGAAGGAACCAGAAAGAACAAAGTGCCTCACTGCTGGATAATAGGCTCTACATTTGGAACCATACATGAGCTGTTAGAGTAGACAGAGTTAACAGTCTCTCTCACACACACAATTATGCCATAGTTTAACAAGAAATTCTGGGGAAGAAATATACACAAGCTACCATACCAAAAAGCTGCTTTTTTAAATAGCCATTCTCAACAGTAAGATTACTATTTGGTATGTATGCTCAACATTGAAAGAAACTTGAACACCTCAACTGAAGGTTTCAACATTGTGAAAGGTTACAAATTGTCTATGTATTTCTTGTTTAATTAAAAATAGCATGATGAGGGGGGGAAATCTTTATAATCCAAAATTTACATATAAATTGGGTAAATAGGCCTCAGAATACATTGGAGGAAAATTAAAAGGCCAAATTAGCCCAGCCGAGCGTGGCTCAGCGGCTGAGCGTCGACCTGGGATCCAGGCGATCAGGGTTCGATTCCCAGTCAGGGCACATGTCCGGGTTGCAGGCTCGATCAATGACTCTCTCATCATTGATGTTTCTATCTCTCTCTCTCCCTCTCCTTTCCTCTCTCTGAAATCAATAAAGATATATTTAAAAGGCCAAATTATAAGCCTACCTAGTTGTGCAGCTGGATTAAAAAACATCCAGGAAAAGGTACCGGCATACAGATCTACAAAGCCTTTCCTGTTACTGACACAGCCTCACCTCAGAGTTCCCAAGATTTATGTCTTTGTTTTTCAGACAAACTTCAAAAGAAGCAAAGTCCTAAGAAAGGTCATACATCCTAAGGTTGTAGAAGTTAAGATGAGAGAAAAAAAGCCACAGAAAAGGCAAAGTCAAAGGGTAGGAAACATGGTGGTTAAGTATGAGCTTAGGAATCACGTTTGATTTCCAGTTTTGCCACCTTGGGCAAATTATCTAACCACACTTAACCTCCATTTCTTCTTCTATAAAATACAAATAGTGGTAGCGACCATACAGTGGAGGTGTGAACATCAAATAAGAATATATGTTATGCACAATAGTACAGTGCCTGGCACACTGTGCTTCAGAAATGCTAGCTAATGTTATCAATAACAGAATATACTCAACTCACCTAGGGAACACCCATGGAGGCATATTCAGTACTGTTATTTTCAAAGCCTACCATGTGTTCAGACAACTTGGTACTATGAAGAGGGGGTGAGAGGTGGGAACAAACTAGACATGTCAAATATCCTGCAAGGCATAGGACCATCCCTCACCACAAAGACTGCCCCATCCAAAACACCAACAGCATCCTCATGGAGAAACAGATATCACATATTATTAATAATAATGTTAAAGTATCAAGCAGGGGAGTTTCAGTGTTCCTAGGACTACCTATCTGAGATGTTTTTAAAAAATAAAAACTACGCTGATATTATAAACATGCACCCATTACATACAAATTCTTAATGTAATTGAGCCATTACATACTGGCTCAGTGACATTTGGCATAAGACTAATGGGGCTCAGTACTATTTTCAAAGCCTACCATGTGTTCAGACAACTTGTATATGAGCCATAAAAAATAAACTCAGTACAGTCAAACTATAAGAAGCTGAGAACAGAATTATAGCAGAAGTATCTAAAGCCATGATTCTTAATGGGTAAAGGCAGTACCACTAACATTTACAAACTCCATGTGCCTGGTGGCAGCATTAATAATACACACACAAACATACACACCAGCCTCTGCAGACACCCTGGTTCTAAAGAACAATACCTATGTATGAACTACACGGCATAAACAGCAGCGAACTGTTCTTAAAATCCTGGTTATATATTTGAGGCACACATTTTAAACAATTTTAGAAACAAATGTGTTTCTATTACATTATAGCCTTCTTGACAGGGAAACAGAATCATGAATGTTCTTTAAAAAACCAGAAATAGCCCTGGCCGGTGTGGCCCAGTTGGCTGGAGCATCGTCCCATACACCAAAAGGTGGAGGGTTTGATTCCCGATCAGGGCACATACCCAGGTTGCCAGTTCGATGCCCGTTTAGGGTGCATGCAGGAGGCAACCGATTGATGTTTCCCTCTCTCTCCCTTCCTCCCTCTAAAATCAATAAGAAACAAATAAATAAAACGAGATAAACACTACCTGATTGGTTAAATGAGAACTACAAAGTCAATATTACAGTGGCTGGCTTGAAAGAAAGCTGAATTCATCAAGATTGTGGATTTGTACTTTGGGCCAAATTAATCAGGAAAATCTCTAAGTAAGAGAGATCTCACCATTCTGACATGTTCTCATCAGAGCCCTGTTTTTGTTCATCTGCTTCACACTCCATCCTTTCTTTCCTTCCTGTTTTGCTTAGAAAAGTCCTGTTTTCTACTGATTCACACAATCCGTGGCCTGAAGAGGTCCAGGGAGTATTCTCCTTCCAGCGCGACAGACGCTGCTTCTTAGCAGACTTGAACCTACACCCTCTCTCATAGCTCCAATCTGACACCTTGAGCTTCTGCTGAAGGCTGGCAGCCACCTCTGATGTCACTCGCTTCACTTTCCGCCTGCGCCTGAGCGGTCGGCAAGGTGCATTTTCAGTAAAGGAGTCAGATTCATGCCAAGAATGTTGCTTACTCTTAACAATGGTGTTGAGAGCTGAGTGCCGTTTGGCTACCATTGTGTCATCAGAATCACTAAAATTGGTGACTGGGGCCATTTCTCGACAGTCCTTAATGGCCTCATCCAGACTGGACTCAGAAGCCTCACTGTAGCAGCAGGTATGCTCTGTCAGGTGAGTGAAGTCTGAACGGCGCTTCCGGCCTCTCCGTTTGCGAAGCTGCCGCCTCTGCTGCCGGGGGCTCAAGGCCATCTCTTCCCACAGCTCACCAAGCTTATTCTGTTCAGATGTCTGCTCCAAGGCTGAGGCTAAGTCATGTACCAGCTCATCCATGAGGCCACATCTGCAAAAAAGGAAATTCAAAAAGAAAAAGAGAGCTTGAATAGAATCTGTTGTTTTAGAATAATTGTACAAAATAGATAATGGCACTGCAGAGTCCACCCTGTCTATAGAAAACAGTCACCTTTCATCTGGCTACACTTAGAATCCGACCATCCATGCTCGCTTTGGCCACTGAAAATAGTTGGTTGGCCCTTGTTAAATGCCTGAAGTCAACATGTTTTTAAGCACAAAAACTCACTCACCAAATGACGAGTATATTAGCAAAAACAAGCAAACTCAGGGGAGTAAATCTTTCCCCGTTTTCCCCAATTAAACTTGTCACTAAATTACCTGATGATGAGATCTAAAAAGATAAGAGGTCTCATCAGACAGGAGCAGAAAAACACACAACTTCAAAACCATAGATGAAGGACTGTTTTATGGTCTGCCATCACTGATAAGAATTCTTGTGGAAGGGAAAAGAAAGACAACCTTAGTGACCACTTTAAGGAAGACTGCTTACAGTTTTAGTGATCCAAGAATCTGCAGTGACCCAGGATTGTACTCTTAACAGAAAAAAGAGACTAAGTTTACACCCATTCTGGTCCCAACTACCACCTGGAAGCTACCAGGTAAAGAACCTTATAAGAGTATATCATATATTTTTTAATAATTAGCAACTTTTAAATTCTTCTCTCATCCTTTAGAAGGTAAGTGATCATCCTAACTATGTGCGTTCACGCTAGACCATCACACTGAAACAGGCTATAACTGAGACTGAAATGACAGGGATGGGGAGTCCTTAAGATTTCTAGCTAACTGCTTTCCAAAATTTCCTATTTTTCTACTCATTAATATCAAACCATCACACCTCAGGAATCACTTCAAAGGCAAACCTTCCAAGGGATGAAAGTGGTAAGAGCAATTTTCAAAATGCCCTTTTAAACGGAAATGTCTAATATAATTTGTACATCTATTAAATACATATTAAATTAGCATTTTTCCTAGCCCTTGTTAAGGCCAAAGTATTTCAAGATCGTAATTAGAGCTTAAATCTCTGTGTGGCGCCACTCTCAGACCATATTTCCCTTTTTGTAGTTTATATTCTACAAAGGACTTTCTAAAACCTATTTTTATGCTGTCCCAAGACCAACGAACTCAAAGGCAGGAAAACAGTTGGCTGGCTTCTCTGTCACACGGGTGGGAGCAATGGAGACATCTACGGTAGTTCCAAACTACCAACCAAACAAAACTTCTCAAAGTGTCAAAAGCCACACACACAAAAAGGATCACTTCCCTTTAGAAAGTAAGTAGTTTAAAACGCTGAGACTGGGGTTTGGGAGGCGACTGTCCCAAAGACCAAAATAAACAAGTGGCAACGGCATGTCTACACCTACTTCCCAAATAAAGAACTACTGCTTTCAAAACTCAGGCAAAACTGCACAAACTTTAACATGGAACCAAGTCACCCAACAACTCGCAGTCGAATGCCTGCTCAGAATCTTTCCTGCCTCCAAGATTGCAATTTGAAAAGTGGGTGACCGAGGAACCCTGGGACTCCACCTCCAGTCCAGGAGGACCCTCGGGTCCAGGCAAGCGCTCGGGAAGAGGAAAGGCTGTCTGATTTAGGCAAAGGAATAAGAGGGAACTGGTAGAAGTAAGGAGAGAAGCAGGCGCAGGGTCGACGAGACGAGGGGGAGACGAGGTTGGGGGCGGAGGCGGCGGGAAAGGTGGGACCTTCCTGCTTGCTCTCCGGGGGCAAGGGGTCAGTCCCCCCCAGCGGAGAAACTGCGAAAAAGCAAGTCCGGGTGACTAAGCTCTCTCCGCGATCAGGGGTCGCAACATGGCCACATATGTGATGAAAAAAGCGTGTTTCGAAGACTCTCCCCTACGCCCGGGCCCGCCCCCGAGGACTAGAGCGACCGCGGCTCGGGACACCAAGCCCTTACGCTGTCGCCAGCCCAAAAAAGCCAGAGAGAAGAGGTGACTGTCGCCCAGGACACGACCCGACCACCAACCCCCGGGTCGGAGGCGATGGGCCCTGAAAAACAAGGCCCCGTCACCCTCGCCCCTCCCGCCGGCCGCCGCGGCCCCATGAAGCCTCTAGCGGCTCAGTCACGGCCCAGAGCACGGAGCCCCGCTGCCGCCGGCCCCTTGGGCCCCGACCCTCTCAACCCGCATCTCCCCCTCACCAGCTGCCAGAGGCACCTCCAACGGCCGCCGCTTTGGGGGCCGAGTCTCCCCGCCGGGGTTTCCCTGTCTGACCTCATTTCCGGTCTGGGCCGGAGGGGTGGTGCGGCGGTGGAGTGGGAGGAGCTACCTGCCTGAGAGGCAGCGCTTCCGGCCCGCGGCCGCACCTACTTCCGCCCCAAGTAGGGCGGGGCCCTGGGGAAGCTT